CAAGTGATAAAAAAAATTGCAAAAGATTGTCCTTTTAGTATGCTACTTTCAAAAGATAGGAAAGGAATATGATAAAATATACATGCATCTCCTCATATGTATAAAAAAGCAGAAATAAATGAGATTGGTTACATATAGAGGGATGGATGGGTGGGAAGTGGTTGAAAGAATTAAGAAATGTGAATGGGGCCGTAGGGATGAATAGTAGTAGAAATTCTTTCAGCAAAACTTTTTAAAAATATATTTTAAATTCTTAGAACCATGGTAATGTTTCACATACCCTCTTACCTCCCCAAAAATAATTGAGTTAACCAAGATATGGAATAAAAGTAGAATACAAACAGTAAAATTTGAGCCTAACTGCATTACAAATGAATACCATAACAATACTGAAAGAGAAGGGGAACAAAAGAACTAACTGAAATAACTTTGATAAACATTATTTTGATTTCACATTGTAAGTCTAAACACAATAAAATAACTGTACACAAATATTGTAGTCTAACTGAATCTGTTTTTCATGAGAGTATGAAAGAACAATTCTGGAACTACTTAATGCAAATAAGTAAATATATTGTGAGTGATGAAAGCCAGATTCCTCATTGTAGGAAAAGGAGTTACAAGTAAGGAGAGGAGGGAGGCTTTGGATTAGAATCAGAGATATCAGTACAAACTTATGGCTAAACACACGCGCGCACACATACACACACAGATTGATAGACATAGAAACATACATATATATGTGGGTATTCACTTTAAATAAATAATAAAATAATTAACAAATTATAAAAACCAAGTTGAGTTTATTTGGGAATGGCAGAGGAATTGCAATTCAGGAAATGCAAACTGCAGTGAACCTTAGGCAAGTTTGAAGAGACAAAGGGAGGTCAGCCCTTATTAGGTTTTAGGAGGGCGTTGGGGAGGTCTGCTTTGAGCAAGAGTTCATTGGAAGAGAACAAGAGTTCAAAGTTGTGGTGGTTTTTCATTGGTGGCAAGTGACAGAGAGTTTTTTCTGCCCGTGGTATGTGGAGAACTTTCTTCCGTCTGACTATGCAAGTTGAGATGAGTGCTATGTGCGTGAGAGCTCCCCTGACTTCATTTTAAATGAGGTTTTTTTTATTTGTTTTCACATTTTCCCCTTTTGATCAAGATATTTTCTTGAAAGCATTGTCGATCAAGAGTGAGGTTTTCCACATTTAGTGGTTTTCTCCCTTAGTGCCAGGAAGGACTTTTCCTGGTTGTCATGTTCCACATCGGAGGGAAAGTGTACAGATTGAAAACCATTAAGGCCCCATTTGAATAACAAGGAAGGATAGGAGGCTGAACTCTCAGGCATCTTTCATCTAAAGTCTATATCTTATCAAGGTTGTAAGCACTGGAGATCATCTCAAAGTGCTGAGCCAGCATCACCCTGTTGGGTATGTCATTTCTACAAAGGTTTGACAAGCAACAGGTACAGAGCTTAAAACTAATTATACAAAGTAGAGTTAAAAGTAATAACACAAGTCCAATTTGTATGATGGTTCTAAACCAGGAGCCCAAACCTGAAGCTAGCCAACTAAATAAATCAAGAAAACGACAGAGAATCCGAGGAAATTTTTAACCAGTGCACTTATCCTCTGATTTTGTGTAATTAAATTTTGACCTCTGCAGAGGTATTTATCCATGTACAACAGGTGGTATTTGCTATCTCTCAAACACTTCTTGCTCAGAAAGTAGATAATCAAAATTGTCTAAAACTACTGTAGCCAATGAGTCAAGTGACCATTATTGTGCTGCTATTACTTTGGCTGTGGAATCAAATAGCTCTCTCAAAGTTAGGGAAATATTTCTGATCATGCATTCATTGGCAATTACTCTGACCCAAGAGAGAAAATTCTCCCTGTTGAAGCAAACCAAGAGTCATGTATGCCTCCTGGAAATTCCCATTTAAGATGACTATGGAGGCCTAATGGGGCAGATCAATGGGAGGCCTCTGATTTGTTCCGGATATTAAAAGGGACAGTTAAATGTACCAATAAACATGACCTCCAAGTTGATAGCTGTCTAAGCATTCACATGTTCATGGGAAATGCTGTCCACCACAAACAAAAACAAAACCAGAAGTGTAGAGGGCTACAGCTAAGTTCTGGTTATCAATAAATTTATTAGCTAGAATTTCCTGATTGATTCTTTCAAGCCACGGGTAGGAGGATTTGGGGTGACATTCTGTGAGAGGCCATACCTTCCTAGAGAGGTCTTTTTTAAAAACCTTACAAAGAGGCATAAACTTGTTTGTATTCCCCTTGGATGCAGGAAGACAGGTTGCACTTAGATAAGGAAAAGAATTTAGGGGAGCAAAGATTGTACAATTGGCAAAGATCAAGGGATTTAATTGAGCTAGTGTGGTTATGAGTGGCTAGAGTTTGGAACAAGGTATGGGAACACCTAGTCTAAATAGTCTAACCCAATAGTTAACATCCAAAGGTTTGTCGGTATAATTAACAGTGGCATTTGAGATTACAGAGAAATTAGTTATAGGTAAGGCCAAGGGGTCTTTGACATTGTGAATAGATAAAAATTTTTGGTGACAGATCCAACATTTAGAAGGATTTACCCCTTTTGCAATGGATTGGAAAATATGGATGAGAGCATTCTCTTTCCAAGAAAGAGAAGGAGAAAATACAAAAATAAGAAGCAACAGCAAGAAAAAGGTATACAGGCCTGGTCCGGTTATCTTGGGAAAGCTGGGTCTCCTTCAGATGCCATCTGCTTCAATTCTGGAAAATCTTTATTTTTAGGTCATTAGTCAGTGCAGGTCCAGTCAGGGTTTGGTCCTTTCTTTAGATGTGACGTGTGAATCCAAGAGTCTATTCCTTGGAGTTTGGTGGCACAGAGTTTAGTTAACAGTACCTAATAGGTGTCTTTCCAACAGGGTTGGAGAGAGTCTTTCTGGATGCGTCTTTTCCAATAGATGAAATCTCTGGGTTACAAAGTATGGTGTTTGAGGTCTTTGTCTCCCAGGACTGTGCTATGAAAAGATTCCTCTACTAAAGCATGGTTATTTTCAATGGAAGAAACAGGTCTTTACAATATTGAAGTATATCTCCTTTTATCAGCTGTGGATCAAAAGAATTATGAGCCAAGTGCATTGAGCATTCTGTTACAAGGACAACAGATTCTTATTGAACTTATGTAAATACATATATTGTCATGAAAAATAAGAATATTTAATAAAAGTTTCAGAACGCTGGAGAGATCATGCAGGGAGAAAAAGACAAATGCTTCAGCCCTTACTACAAAGATACACTCTACCAAATTGCTGCAAGCCATAGATAGCTTATAGGGGAGGAGAAAAAGGGGTCCTTTAAATCTGGAAAACAAAATGTTAAAGCAATCGGTTCTCCATTACAGTCTGAGAAATTCTTTTCCAGTTTGGCGTTATAATCTTAAAGTTATCAAAAATCTGTATTCTAGAGTACTTGTCAAAGCTCTTTGAAGATGAAGGAATTTTGTAGGAATATATATATGTGTATTTTTTGCCAAAGCATCAGAGTAAAACAATAGTCATCTGTAAATAACAAAAGACTTAACAACAGCAATGGTTAAAAATCTGACGAGAGTTCATTATAATGCAATTGACAAGGAAATATGGTTATTTTTGTGACACACAACATTTTAAGATAATAACTAGAATTATGTTATTATAGATTATATAGATATAGATTATAACATTATATCAGGATATATCAGAATTTTAGAAATTTCATATAATTTCTAGAACACATATAACATTCTCCCATACAATATAACCTAAGAAAGTTTATTACCACTTATTTGACAATACTTCCCCTGTAATTCAACCTACCAAATAAGCCTCATTAATTTAATATCTCTCCTTTCTGGAAAATCCCAAATTAGTTCAAGGTCAAAAAGACTTCATTTAGAATTTGGATTTGGGAAAGTTTGTCAAAAATATCAAACAGTTTTAAAATAGTTTGCCAAATAGGATCCTAAGTCACTGCAGAATAATACTTGGTTATCCATTTAACCATGGTGACAATTAAAGACTTCATAGGCAAATACAAAATGTTAAATAGTTGTCACAGGAAATTATTTTGGTGAAACATAAAATCTTTGCTCTTTAGGTGGATTATTTAAAAGGTAAAGAAAATCTTTCACAATATCTTATCAAAAGCAGACTAATAGACCAACAAAACTTTCTTCTTTTAGCAAATGAAAGAAAATTAACTCCTAGTTTTACATAAGTACTTTATTGATATTAAAGTTTATTTTTAAACTCTTGTAACAAATTTCATCAATATTATCCAGCTTGCTCAGACATAAAGTTCTTTTCCCAAGATTTCTTTTTCATAAAACTTCTACCATTTTGTTTTTTTTACACGTTAAATCATTTATTCATTTGTAAAACTAACTTTACAAGTACATAAATTCTAAATTCCTCTATGATGTTACAGTAAATGTTTCAATACCACTGTGAGAGGGGGGTCCTTAAAAAATAACAGCAAGTCCCATAGGCATAAGTCCCTTTTTGATTTACTCTTTCAAACCAGCAAAGCTTTGACATAGGGCAAGATTTTGTCACTTTCTGTTTATATTTTAAAGGAAAAAAATGTACACATCCACTCCACTCTATCCTTCAGGACAAAAGTAGTTTCTCCAAGTACTATAGATCAACTGACTTGATAGTTAATCTTTTAGGTAATTATTGAGCTTTTTATTTTAGAGAACACAATCCATCATTTTTTGCCTTTTTTTTTTTAAATTTGGCTCCTTGGATTATAAAGCTAAAGATGTTCTCAAATTTTTTTACAAGTTTGTTAGTTTCATTTTTTTTTATTCTAAGGAACATCAAACTAACCTCATTTGAGGTTCTCATGAAAGTTTTCAAATTTAATTCACTTTTTTCATGATTACAAATCCACTTGGGATTCTAGGATAAAACCTGTGAATGCTCACTATATATTTCTTTTACTAAAATATGAAGATTAAGGAAAAAAATCTAATGAATTTACTAAATTGCATTAGAATATGGACCCAAATGCTTATATTCACATCACAAAATTTTCTATACATTCTATAGATGTAGAAAGTTTATTAACATATTATTCTGTAAATATATATAGTATATATTTAATTTGATTTAACCACATTCCATAGGTTGTATTTCAGGGGTGTTTTCCAAGTGTTGAGAGTTTACTGTTTATTTTAGTGATCCAACAACTTCATACAAAAATGCAGAAAATTTTTCTGGCTGGCCATGAGGAAATCATTTCAGTGTGGATAAGTTCGTTGACTGTAACAGCCCAGGAAGCATGCTGCAGGTACAGTAGAAGAGATGCCCGTCTTTGTGTAGCTGCTTTGCCAATTCCAGCTGATGATTGTTCATAAACTTTTCATTTATAACCACTACAAGTGGCTTTATTTTTTCCAGAATCTCCAGTTTCCTGCACCTGCGTGACTAATAACAAGATCTGCTTTCTGAAGATCTTCTTTCAATGAATCCTTGTACCCCTAAACATCTACAGTAAATAACTCACTACTGAATGGTTCAAGTACCACCTTTTTTCTACCTATTTGTAGGATAAGTTGGTTGTAACCAAGGCTCTTGATTATTTGCAGTGTGGTGTGCTGCTACACATGCAATGAGGTCGCCAAATCTGGTGGTCCCTACAGTAACAGACATGGACCCCTTCTATGATTTTCTACGTCCATTTTGTTTTGTCCCTTGTTTTCCTTCCCATTTTGGAATAATTAGCTTTACTTTAGGACAAAATTACTCTCTTGTCCCTTAACAAAAATACATGTCTAAATTTCGTATCTTTCTTACCCCAAAACACATTCTACTTTCCTTGTATACAAAGTTGTTTCCCTTATTATTGCATATATTAATTAGAATTATTAACCCTTAGAAATCTTAACTAAGAAGTAAGCAGTTGTGAACTCTCTGTTATGCCAGTACTTTTTGGATTGGCACATTTATGAATATATTTCCTAATTTCCAGAAACATGTGCTTCCTCATAGTAAATCTTTCCATAAAGCACAAGGCATGTTTACTAACAGGTCCAATTTTATCTTTAGTTTCTCTGCAACCGGAAGCCAAAAGTAGAGAGACCGATGATCAGTAACTAATGTTTCACTATTTTATCTTACTTGGAAATGATCTAGATATTTAATAAATTCCCATTGTTTAATTTAATTTAGAAAAACTCTAAAGTTTCAAGTTGCCAAAAAGATTTTTGGAAGCCGTTTTCAAATATACATATCATAAAACATAATTATTATGTCTAAAATCTCTTATCCCATTTACATCTATCTAAATCATTTGTTCCCAACAATTATGTTTGGACTACCCAAAAACTCCATGAGACATTACACAAAGTCAGCCATCATCTCAAGCTATCTTTCTGGATGACAAATTTTGTAAGAAATAACATGAACTTATTTGATTAATAAACCCAGGTAGAATAAAATTTGCTTATCTGTATTATATTTAATTCTGATAACTCTGAAATCATACCCATTTTTAATTAAACCAAGCTTAAATTAGCTTTACTTACCAAAGAGTATCCCAGAACATGTGAACTTGAAAAACGTTGGCATTAGTTTCTGTTATATCTCTGAGATTTAGAATACTTGATTTATAAGCACTTAATTTTAAGTCAATTAAATAGAGCTCTTTTACAAATTAACTTTGGCAATATCATCCAGAGATAGAAAAATACCATATCCATAATGTACATACATAAACCTACAGACAGACACAGAGATCTCATAGCTTTTATTTTAAAACATTAACCATTAATCAAGTACAATACAAAACTCACTAGTTTATAAATAATTGTGTCTCTGAGGAGAGCCTTTGAGGGATCTTTTTGGATCTTAATAAGAGGTGCACTGTGGATTCTGCTAATATCAGTTGATGATTTTGCCCATAAGGAAGGTGGTAGCTGATCCAATAGGGACAAATGATTAGTGTTCTTGAAATTAATTCTAGTTCCATTGGAGATGAAGCAAATAAAAGATCATGAAGGGCCATTTGATTCACCCATTTGACTATTTGACTATTTTTGTTGCTGTTATCAAATTCTAGAATTATTTTCCCATTCTGGGAGAAAGGAACACCAGCATGATATTTTTCTAAGAAATCTCAGTCCATAAGAACATAGGCGTTTAGCATTTGGATCTTCAGAGGGTCAGATTTTAAAGGGGCAAGTTTTAATAGGTTCAGGAGAGGAGGAAATGGGGAGAAGTTTGGAGAAAAAGGGAAGTTCAGTGACAAGATTAAAATGAGGAAGTGGAGGCTATAAAGGAGGTGGAGCCTGCACAGAAGGAAAAGTAAAAGATGGCACTGGGGTTAGGTCCTAGGTGCAAGATGTCTGTTGCCCACCTAGAGACAAAGAAGAAGGGGGAAAGGAATAAGATGATGCCTAAGAAAGATGACATGGGAGGGGAGAAAGAGGCCTCAGGAGTTTTTTTTTTAATTTTCTTTCAATTGTTTGTTTGCCTTGGTCAACATTGAAATAGCATTTTGTAAAAAGGCAATTTTTGAGTCTTGAATATGTTTAAAAGTCTCCAGATACCAATTGATAGAGGCATACTACTAAGTCTGTTTACTTGTAGAGCCATGGATTTCTAAGTTGGTTCTGAGAAAAACAAGTTTGGGGAGGTCAAAAGTTCCGCATAATGACCATTGAGTTCTAAATTGCTTTTGGTTAAGTTGGTTCATTTAGTTAAAATTGTGCATGAGGAGGCACCATAGTTTTTAAAAGTAAAAAACTTGAGTCCCAGGAGGAGGAACCTCCTGAGAGAGTTTAGAGGATTGGGATCTCATTACTCAAAACCACAAGTTCAGAAAAACAAACGAGTACTCACCAGGAAGGACAAAGCCTTTAAACAGATACTAAATAAAGTTAAAGACTTCAACCAAAGGGAGAGAACTTGAATCTGAGACAATACTTACTGAACCAAAAGGAAAAAACTGACTCACAGAAGCGGAGAGCATAAAGGGCTCTAGTGGGTAATGCACTCAGTTCTGGAGTTGTTAGTTCCTCAGAGGTTCATCTCCTTCAGATCCCACTTCTGACACCATGGAATGTTAACTTTAAATAAAATAATTAACAAATTATAAAACAAAATTGTGTTTATTTTGGAATGGCAGAAAAATTGCAATTTGGGAAATGCAAACTATCACGAAACATAGGCAAGTCTGAAGAGACAAAGGGGAGGTCAGCCTTTATTTGGTTTTAGGAGTGAGTTGGGAAGGGCTGTTTTGAGTAAGAGTTCTCTGGAGGAGAATGAGAGCTCAGAGTTGTGGTGATTTTTCAATGGTAACAAATGGCAGAGAGTTTGTTGGTACTGAGGTATGCAGAAATCGTTTTTCTTCCTGCTGACTATGCAAGTTGAGATGAGTGGTATATGCATGAGAGCTCCCCCTTTAGGGATTTCTGGCTCCATATTAAATGAGATATTTCTTATTTATTTTCACAGTGGGCATGTTTATGTTAGTGTACATAACTGTATTTCTTAGGTCTGTCCACTGAGAGAGCCTGGAAGCAATGAGAAAATCTAGCACCCAGATCTTAGTTTCTAAATACCATTCCTTTGTGAATGGAATCAGGATTAATCTGTAAAATGGTTAATTTCCACAACTGGGTCTAGGAACATACAAGATGAGCCTGGAACATCTGTGATGCCATAAAGTAAAAAGTCCTCCAAAAAAAATAAGAGGTACATAGAGAAAGGACACAGAAGTCAACTTCAAGGAACTCTCAAATACCATAGCTGGGACAATTTTAATGGCAAAATATATATTGATTGTATTGGATGTTAACCCATAAAATAAAATAAATATCAAAAAGTTCATACCTAGATAATCCATTCAATCAATAAATAAATAAAGGTAAGAGATGACTGTTGATTACACTATAATTACAATTAACAAATATAGAAAGAATGGTAGAAATAGAAAATTACTATTAGGCAAATGCTATGAAAATAATTGTTGCAAGACCCATGAGGCTAAAATGTAGGTGAAAGTATTATGAGAAACAGGACACTAGGATTGTCTCAAAGTATCTCTCCATAAAATACTTAGTAATTAAAAAGGTAAAACAGTGGAGCAGTCTTGAAGACAACACTTTAATTAAGTGATCAAAGTTAACATCACCAATAATAAGATGTTAACAATATGTACCTTTGATACACAATGAGATTGGCACAAAATCACTTCTGTGCTATTCTAGACAAAAATAAATAGCCTAAATTTTGTCAAAAGGAAACATAGACAAACTCAGACTGAAGGAATTTCTAAACCTACCAGTACTCTTCAAAATAGTCAAGGTCATGATGGTAAAGAAAGACTGAATAACTGTCACAAATTGGAGGAGACTAAGGGAGCATGAAAACTAATTGCATGTGTATGATGCTGGATTGGATACTGGTTCAGAAAAAGGACATTACTGGAAAAATGGATGGAATTTGAATAAGGTGTGCAGGTTAGTTAATAATATTTTGTTAATTGATTTGTCAGTTAAAAATTGATTTCTTGGTTTCCATCACTGTACTATGATTATCTACAATTTTAACATTAGAGGAAGGTTTGTGAAGGACATTTGGCAACATCTGTATGATTTTGCAATTTTTCTCTAATTCTAAATTATTTAAAAATTAAAAATTAAAAAATTGATCAGTATATAGAGATTTTGTGTATACTGAAGTTGTATTTGAATTCAGTAATAAATGATTCAATTAATCATTCTGGAAAAATATATTTTACTTTGAAACAATAGATAAGATGTTTAGATTTTATCATTTACTAAAATAAATTCCAGCTGGATTAAATATTTAAATGCAAAAAATAAAATCATAAAAGTAACATAATGCCATGGACTTTAGAATCAGACTGCCCAGGTACAAAAGCTGGCCCGACTATTTTAGCATTGTGCGATACTATCCGAATGATTTCACTTCTTGGAACCTCAATGTTTCCTCATGGAACAATGTGGGAAATCATTGTATCTAACTCATAGGCTGGTGTTGAGGATGGTATTGCTATATATAAGGTCTTTACAACACTCCTTGACGCTTAGTAAGCAGTCAAGAAGAGTTGGTTATTCTTATTGTTGTTTTTGTTGATTTATTATACTGAAAGAAACTATAGGAAATGTTTTTATAATATTGGAAATCGTAAAACCTTTTTTCACTAGGGCTCCTATGCCAAAACATAAGGAAAAGGCTGACACATCTGATTAGGTAAAAATCCAAGTTTATTGGCTAAATATCCATGAACAATGTTGAAAGAGAAAAAATAAACTGGGTTAAAAAATGTGACACACGGGGGCCAGCCCCGTGGCTTAGCGGTTAAGTGCCAGTGCTCCGCTACTGGCGGCCCGGGTTTGGATCCCGGGCGTGCACCGACGCACTGCTTATTTGGCCATGCTGAGGCCGCGTCCCACATACAGCAACTAGAAGGATGTGCAACTGTGACATACAACTATCTACCAG